GCCAATCGTAATCGGAGCTCTGGGCCTCGTCCGAAAAAGAATGGACAATTTTATTAACAGTGTCCCAGGTAACATTGCCATTGCCCAGAAAATCACCGAACGAGGAACATGCCATATACTAAAAAAAAAGCTATATCAACTGAATGACAATTCTCCTATAGGGCCTAAGGACCATAGTTCGGGACTGGCTATACTTGATACAAAGCAGGAAACATAACATACACAAGTAATAATAATAATAATAACAATAATAATAAATTTTTTTTTTTGTCAGTGAAAAATTGTCATGACGCCATTTCTAACCTTAGAACAAATGGGCGGGACCCGGAAAGAAATGACAAAAACGCCAGAAATCAAAGGAAATAAAATAATAATAATAATAATAATAATAATAATAATAATAATAATAATAAAAGCTAATCACCCAAACATTGTGATCAAAATTCACAAAACAGAATGTGCTTTTTTTACTGACATAGCAGTCCCTACAGATATTAAGGCATCTGTGAAAATCTTAAAAAAAAGCTATCAGAATACAAAAATACTGACGTGGAAATATAAAAAAAAATGTGGTTCATGAGGACATCAATAATCCCAGTTGTAGTTGGAGCCCTCAGAATTATTGGAAAAGATTCCGATAGACTCATTGAAGGGATTCATGGTAACTTATGCTTTAAAAAAATGCAAAATATTGTACTCACAAGTACAGCTCACACATTACATAAACTTTTATGAAATGAACAAAGTCTGACAATTATTTTAAGACAATTTTTTTATGTTTATACGTTCTTTTTATAGATACAAACATTTAAGTAAATGCTCTGTTTATAATAAACAGTATTAACAACATTTACCGGCCTGAATGTCTGAGAAATTGTCATAGAAAATATGCGTTCTCCGACAGGAATCGAACCTTTAGCCTATACAGAAAAAAATATGTAGTCTGACATGCTTTACCGATTTAGCCACAAAGACGCGTTTCTGCTCGATGCGTATCCAAATGTAAACAAATGACGTTACATATTATGAAATGGACAGATATGAATGAACGAAAGAAAATCATGGAGAATTGTAGTTAAAAAAAACAGTAAAATCGAACTTGATAACCGAAACGCTCCTTTGTTTATAAAATCGGTAAAAGCGCGTTTCTTTACATGACGGAAGTATAGGCTAAAGGTTCTGATTCCTGTCGGAGGATTCGTATATTTTCTAATGAAAAGAAAAATCGAACATTCAGGTCGGTCGTTAATATTGTTCATTATAAACAGAGAATTTACTTAAATATTTGTATCTATAAAAAGAACGTATAAAAATGTCATAAAAACCTTTATCTATGTAAAATATGTGATTTTTTTTTTTTTTTAGAAAAAATGATCAGAAAAAAAATAAAGAAGATTTCTGACCTTAAGTATTTGGTTGGGACCTGGAAGGAAAATTTGCTTTTAAACAGAAAAAAAGGAAATAATAATAATAATAAATAATAATAGTAATAATAATAATAAGAAGAAGACGAAGAAGAAGATGATGATGATGAAGAAGAAGATGAAGAAGAAGAAGAAGATGATGATGATGATGAAGAAGAAGAAGAAGATGATGATGATGATGATGAAGAAGAAGAAGAAAAAGAAGAAGATGAAGAAGAAGATGAAGAAGATGATGATGATGATGATGAAGAAGATGAAGAAGAAGATGAAGATGATGATGATGAAGAAGAAGATGATGATGATGATGAAGAAGAAGATGATGATGATGAAGAAGAAGAAGAAGAAGATGATGATGAAGAAGAAGAAGAAGAAGAAGAAGAAGAAGAAGAAGAAGAAGAAGAAGAAAAGAAGTTGAAGAAGATGATGAAGAAGAGAAGAAGAAGAAGAAGAAGAAGAAGAAGAAGAAGAAGAAGAAGAAGAAGAAGTGCTTACCTGAACACGAGAGTTGGGTGAAAAGAATGATGACTGTAACAATTTGACACCATAAACGCCATGTTGAAGATGCTGTGAAGTTGGCAAGGGCGCCTTTTCTGCGCCTTCCTTGCATGATTTTCGTTTTGGTGAAAACCCAAATATTTACAACAAAAAGTGTACTTGTGTGGACACCTCAGGTAGCCTTAGATGTCAATGTTACTCGCCGGCGGTTTTAAGTCTGTCTGTTAACCTCCGCAGTCATCAACACATCTGAAAGGACAGACAAAAACCTGCATCAGTAACAAACGTATATGTCTAGTTGATATACTTACTTCCGCTTCCGGTATGTGCTCAATCCCATGTGTGTATGCATGTGCGCATGCGTACGTCTATTATGGATTGGTTAAAAAAAGCTGTCAAAACATTTACTCAAGAATAAAAAGTTTATAAAATAATTCGATAAACACACACATATATATATATATATATGGGGGGGTGTTTATAATTGTATCAGCTTTATAATGTATATTAACTCAGATATAGCTGTGTAAACTATCACGTATGTGAGTTGTGATTGAAGGATAAGCCAAGATCAGCATGACGTAGAAAAGTGCATATGCCGCCATATTTTCTGCCTGCCAATCTAAAGTGTAAAGTCGTTAAACAAACACTTGAGTGTCAGTTGTAATGAATGTAGAAGTGAGGTTTTGATTATGGGCGTGTAAACTCAGGTACATCACCAAGTCTGTAAGCTAATGCGGAAATCATTAGCAACATTTTAGACAAACAATTTTTTCAACACAATCTCTTTCCGTATCTGTCTAAATTTCTGAGATGAGGTATTATGTACACTATTTACATTATTCGGACTATTGTCCTCATCTTTGTCGCCATATTTATTACAACGTCTCGGCCGTTGTACGCTCCGGCCTTCTTCAGGTGGTTGGAATATCGAACTGAACCCTTTATTTCGCTCACTGGGGGAGACTGTTCCAGTTCCACATGCCATGTTTTAATGGATGTCAGTTGTCAGTTATCTCCTATTAATTCCTCTCTCCAAGTTCTCCACCGCCTTAACCAGGTATTAACCAAGGAGACAGTAGATTAGTTAGATCCAGTGACAGAACCGAAAGAGTGTGAGTTCAATACCCGGTTAAGGTATATATATATATAATACGTCAAAAGTGTAAATTTAAATTCATTTTTCCTTTTCCCTTTGAAAGTGAAGTCTGAAGATCAAGAGAAAAATAAAATTCTCTGGTGAAATAAATTGATACAATGGAGTCTTAAAGTGGTCTGTTTTTCATTTAAATTGTATATATATATATATATATATATATATATATATATATATATATATATATATATATATGTATAAGTGGACATTGTGGTCAATGATATTGAGCACTTTAACCCATAAATTTAGTATAACTTAAAACTATATATATTTAGCACACACACACACACACACACGCACACACACACACACACACATATATATATATATATATATATATATATATATATATATATATATATATATATAAGATATGGCACATTCAGTGCTGGTATTAATAAGATAGTACTCTATGTACTATAACAGAGCTATTAAGTATATATTGATAAATAAATATACATATTGTCCCTCACCTGTAGGAAGACTGTCTTGTAATCATATTTCACAGCGCAGTTTTCACGTGCTGGGTAGAAACTGAATTTTGCATAATTTAATTTTTTAAGAAAAATATCTGGTTAACGCATTATGAGCTTTTTAATAGACATAAAAAACAATTTTTAAATTATATCCAAATCATTATTCATAAAAGAAAAATGTTATACATACATACGCACGCGTGCACACACATACGCACACACACACACACACATACACACACACACACACACACACATATATATATATATATATATATATATATATATTAAATAGACAAATAAGTCTATTTAAAAGCATATTTGTCTTATTTACCAATTTATAGTGCTGCTATTTTCTTTTAAATTTGACAGATTCTTATATATATATATATATATATATATATATATATATATGAGTTAAAAATGAAACAAAAAAAATCCCATCAGCAGATAGGGCGTAATAAAAAAAAGTTAACTGAACTGTAGGAAAAAATTGCAATCCATACGCAGAGAAAAAACGATAGGTTGTGTTATTTAATGTCGTGGACAATCTAATTAGCAAAAAATATATATATATATACAGAGAGAGAGAGAGAGAGAGAGAGAGAAAATAGATAAGTTGGTCAATAAACGAAAGGGTACCGATGTAATCAGTACGAAAACATATATATATATATATATATATATATATATATGTCAGACTACTTCTGTTTTAAATTCTTTTTAGACCTCTGAAAATAACATTTTTGTGATTGAGCCATTGACGGCCCCGTGGCCGGACATTTGGCCAACAGACATTTCACAGAAAAAAGTAAAAATAGTACCAAGCAATACTTTAAGTATTTCAATTAGCAGTATTATAAGTTAGAATAGGACTAATAATTACTAATGAATTTCAAGTGATTAAATTACATTAAATCGAAATTTAAATTAAAAGTTTTCTTATTTTAATATTTGTTTACTGAAATTACCATTCTTAAAAATATTTGCGTAAAAAGTAGCACCTAATTATTTAAATTCGTAGTTAACAGTAAGACAAAATCTAGTTAATCCCTTTTAATATAATGATCATTAAAAGCGAAATTGAAAGATCTTTCATATCGTAAAAGTTTGAGATTTGTGCTGTAGTAAAATGTACTTTTTCTCAAAATACTTATCTTACAGTAATATTTGAAAATATAATATATACAGAATAGATAAAAAAAACTGTCAAAAAAAAAAGAAAAATTATAAATTAATACAGTAAATAAATATAAATATATTTAGCACATTACGATAGAGAGTGTGACAGACATGTAAATATATGCATATATTGATTTTATAACATGTTTATGTTATAATTTTCAAATAAATAATTACATATATATATATATATATATATAGATAGATAGATAGATAGAGAGAGAGAGAGAGAGAAATTGCATGAAATTGTCAAATAATGTATGTGATTATGGCCATATCACGTTGAAACACCAATTCCCATACGATCACTGATGTTAAGCAACGTCAAGGCTAGCCATTACCTAGATGGGTGAACGCTTCGGAATACCAGATGCTGTAAGCTTGAATGTGCGTGTGGTGCCTCGGAATTGTTAATCGGAGAACCGAGTTCCAATTCTCGTTGGGTTCGTTATATTCACTTACGAGCAAATACTCTTGGGAAAGGTATGAATCCACTTCTGTTCCTCCCAGCTATGGGTTAATTAGTAAGACTTGTATCACTAAACCATTATTATCTCCCCGCAATTTTTTATAACCTAAAATATATTTTCTGGCTTTAACTAACAAACCAAAGTGTTGACAAACCGTAAAAACGAATTAAATTATATATATATATATATATATATATATATATATATATATATATATATATATATATATATAAAGGGAAGAGGTTATAGTAGTTCCAACGAGAGAAAAGTGTGTATAATAAAAAGAAGAGAGAAACCGCAAATGTTTTTGGTTGTAATGTGGATTTTAAAAAAAAATCTATTATACTTTATTTTCCATAATTTTGCTACACGGGCTTCCGGTCTTGCGACCTTCATCAGGAAAAGAATGGATATTTCCATATATTATTAAAAGGAATTAATTTTTCTTATACTTTTCGTTGTTAAATATTGTCGATATTAGACATTCTCTTTTTTGTGTGTTAGTGACCCAAATGTCTTTCTTGAATTGGCAGTGAAAGAATTCTGCGTGAAGGGTAATAAAACAATTAAGATTGGTCCGAGAAAGAGTAAGAAAGATATTTATATTCTTACCTTTTAATGACCCCTGTGTGTTCTTAGATCTATTTCCATTTTTTTTGTGTTTTTGTCAGCATGCGTACGTATACGTATATTCCCTCTCCATACATACATACTGTCTTATAATAAGGAATTAATATACACATATGTACACATATACACACACATACATACACACACACACAAACACATATATAAAGACTTCCTATGTTGTGTAGGTAGGATGCACACACACGCATGTGTATATGTGTGTGTGCGTACGTGTGCGTGTGTGTGTATGTGGGGAACATGTGTTTTAAAGCAATATTATTGCCAAATTGTGTGCTATGCTCCAACGTCTATGTGAGAGGGTTACGGCTATACTCTTAGCCATTATCAAGGATGATTATATTTTTGCTTTTTATTTGGGTGTATGGTTTGTGTGTATGTTTCTAGTGCTATAGTTTTATTTTCCGAACACAGCACATTTGTGGCCGTGTTCATAGTTAATATTATTGAGTATTAGCTTTTTCTTTTTTATTATTAAGGCTTCCATTATTTTTAATCTTTTTCACGTGTGGATGAGGTTATCATGTTTGTATTTTCTACTAGTATGTTTCGGATGAAGTCTGGTAAGATTGTGTGTGTGTTTAAATGAGTTCTAATAGAGATGTGGTCAGATAGGTGTAACGGAAAGGCGTCTGGATAGGCATGTAGTCGTGTGGCAGATGTAATTATTCATGAATTCGATTTGATCTATCTATCTATGTAAGCTTGTTAATATCTACCTATCTATCTATGGATCATTTTAAGGCATACATATATATCATTAATCTATAATTTTTATCTATTTAAATTTGTTTATAATTTCTCTCTCTATATATATATATATATATATAGAGAGAGAGATAGATAGATAGATAGATAGATAGATAGATTGAAACCAAATTGCGAGAATAGATTTTTTATATATATATATGCCTTAAAATGATCCATAGAGAGTAGATAGATATTAACATTGTTTGTTTTTATATATATATATATATATATATATATATATTTTTCACACACATACTTTCAGACATATACATATATATATATATATATATATATATATATATATATATATATATATATATATATTGCAAAAGGTGACAGAAAAGGTACTAAGATTAAATTTTTATTTAATTTTTCTTGTGTTCAAACAAGTATTTTCTTTTCTGGACACAGAGTGTGTAGAAACTGTCCAAATGTTTTGTAATTCCATGCGCTTTCGGCTATACGTTTAGCCATTATCAAGGATGATTTGATATTTACTTCTTAACTGGGTATATGGCTAGTGTGTGTGTGTGTTTTTGTTGAGTTACGCGGATGTTTATTTTCCGAACACAGTCAGCACATTGTGGCCGTGTTCGTAGTTAATATTATTGAGTGTTAGCTTTTTCTTTTTTTATAATTAAGGCTTCCATTATTTTTAATCTTTTTCACATGTGGATGAGGTTTTTATATTTGCAAATTCTACGAGTATGTTTCGGGTTTATTGAAGAAAGAGAGGAGGTGCTGCCAATAAAGAAAGTCAGTTATGTGCCATGCGTAATACACGCTTAGGCGATCATTTTCCCGCAGGAGGTTGCCATTATTTTCTGCGGTAGACCAGTTGCTGTCCTGCTCTTTACCCATAGCTGGGGGGAGAAGAGGATTCATACCTTTCCTAAGGGTATTAGCACGCAAGTGAATGTAATGGATTCGACTGGAATTCGAACTCGGCTCTCCGGTTCCTCAATCCGAGCCGCTATCCATTACTCCGTCGTGACCCAAGAAAGAGGAACAACTAAAAGCTATTTTGATTATTGACCGATTTTCTTGAATCATTGATTGATTTTGTGTCAAGATCTCGACGATCTGCCTGGGTGTTATTTTGAATTCTTCAAGGACTCTCTGGGGCGGTGCCCATCTCCTTTCTTAGTGACACTGAGTTAGTTACAGAAGGAATTCCAAAATATATCTTTTGTTTCATCATTTTGCGAAGAACGCCGAATCATTAACGTTTCAGCAGTCATTTGTAGACCTTCTTCCGGAAGAACTTTGGACAAGAGATATTTTTTGTGGGTCTCGGCGCTGATTTATGTGTTGTTTCTTTTTTTTATGTCATGTCAGTTCAATGTTAGACGATCACAACAATCCACTCTTTTTATTTATTATCTGTGAATTATTCTTGGAGAGGAGATAGGTGCTGCCATTGATTTTGACCGTTATGGAAAAGAGTTAGTGTGGCTTCTGCATTCGGATCCACCCTACGAGTACAAAAGTCAAGGAGATAATAATGATGATGATGATGAATTCAGGGAAAGTTTAGTAAAGTTGTTTTTGTTGCCTCTTTTACGCTTTGAATCTAGAGTTTTCATTCTCTTAGACGGCTTGTCACTCAAGGCTAGAGGGCCTAGTTTACCTTGATTTATAACCCATATCTGGAGGGAGAAGAGACTGATTCTTGCTTTTTCCAAGACCATTAGTGCGAAATTGAACAGGACAGACTACGCCGGAATTTTAACTCGGCTCGACGATATTCTGCGACGCTATATGATGCTTTTCCAAACATTGCTTACATGTGGCACAAGGTCGATAATATTGAGCACCCAGTGAGGATCGAATTCACTATTCAGTCGTAACTGATCTAGCAAGACAAGCTTGCTAACTATTACGCAACGTTGAATTGCCTAATATTTTTCTAAGAGTAGCTTAGATGTGGCACAAGGCCGAAAGTATGGAGCACCCAGTGAGGATCGAACTCACTATTCAGTTGTAATTGATATAGCAAGCTTGATAACTATTACACTACGTCGAAGTGCTCAAATGATTTTCTAAGAATAGCTTAAACGTGGCACAAGGCCGAAAATATGGAGTTATAATTGATCTAGCGAGTTTAAGTTTGATAACTATTACAGCACGTCCAAGTACCCCGCTTGAAAAATATGTAGAAAAAAAAAATTATTTCATGAAACATATTAACACAGACATCAGAAATTGCACCTGATTTATTTGCTTTTTTAATCCAGGGTGTAACTTTTATACTGCATATAATGATGGGCATCACCAAAAGTGGATATGCCAGGGGAACTTACATGCAATTTTTGTTAATAGTCGACCTTTGCGTGGGCAAACTTTATACTCTACCTTGTGTTACACTCTGTTCCCGTAGGAATGCGGTTAATTATCTACACCCTTGTGCAAATTAATTATGCAGGAAGATGGGGAGGTCATGATCCTCTACACCCTTGTGCAAATTAATTGAAACAAATCGAATAATTCCGATATTATTTACATTTTTTAGTATTTTCCCAACGAAATATGATCCAGTGCATATATTTGTACTTCATTTGTCCATTCCACGAAGTCGTTCTTTACAAACTGACCACAGATTCTCGACTGGATTTAAATCAAGAGACTTTACGGGGCAGTCTATAGTATTTTGATTTGTTCACTGGTAAGGCTTGCTATTGTGTTCGTGCAGTGTTACAATTTTTGCACTTCCTTGGAGTAACGTCCATCGCAGACAATGGCAGTAGGACAACTAATCGACAGTCGAGACAATAGTGCCTGGGTATGATAAAAGACTGATGTAATCACGGATGACTTCTTGTCACGAATAAGCGAATTTTACATAAATGAGGTCATAACAAGGAATTGATTGATTTATCTTTTACGGTTTATCTACCACTTGTGGGTCATTTAAAGCCGAAACATATTTCGGTTTCTAAAACTATTTCTATTTAATATTGACTACTGCATTAACGTCTTTTAAAGGACGAAAATGATTATTTTAACCGGGAATCCCTATGTTTCTTCAATAATCGTGGAGTTTTTCTTAGAGAATACGATCTTAGCTGACGTATATGAAGTTTACTACATATTGTGCGCTCTATTTACATTATTCGGACTATTGTTCTCATCTTTGTCGCCAGATTTATTACATTCTTCGCTACGCAGGAATTACCATGTTTCAAAAACCGAAGCTAAAAACTTCAAATTTAATTATATAATTAAATTAAAAGCATTAGTTTTGTTTCACCTTCATGCGAATTTTGGAATAACTTATAATAAATAATAAATTTACTGAATTTTGAACGCATATACAATTCATAATTTCCCGTTTCCAAGGATACAGTGAAATCCAATCATTTAGACAGGGGCGGTAGGGTGTTCATTTTTATTAACTAATGT